AAAAAAAAAAAAAATGTACTTCACCTAGAAACAGCGGAGTAGTTGCTTCGTAAGTAACTTCATTAGGATCAGCTCCTGCTTCCAAGAGGATACTGATGCTTTCCAAACACCCACGATTTGCAGAAAGATGTAACGCACAAGTACCCTCAAATGTCTTTGATTTTACGTAGTCATCAGATGGAGCTACAGAACAGAAAAGGAAAAAGTAATAATTAAATATGACCTTCTAAAAAGAACCGTAACTTACCATATTGCATGTTTCTTTAAGACATGTTGCATAGATTGCATTTTTGGTGTGCACGTACCCCATAAAAGTGAGATCAGATTCTTTTAGCTAGTGGCATCTTCTGGGGCTACACATGTGCCCTACTGGTTCCTCCCACACACCCAAAGGCATAAAGGATGGAGTGGTCTCAACTGTCCCTCAGCTTTTTCACCAGTCCTGAATCCAGAAAGTTTAGGATTCTATATTAGCTGGCAAGGAGGGTGAGTCAAACAACCCATGTGGACAACACATTTAAGAAACAGCTACTATAAAATAATAGCTTTTCTGTGATCAGCCACAGGTATCATGCTTTGGGAGACCAAACAGCAACGTTTTCATAATTGGGCTTGTATGACCTCACTGCTAAAATGAACATCATATAATAAAGCTACAGCCAAGGAAGAGCTTAAGCTGGGTGAAAGTGTGGGCTTTCACATACCGCAGTTTGTCACACACAAGACACACCATTTTCCCAAAAAGCAGCTTCTGAAAATGGGACTGCAAGTTATATGCAAGAAATCCAGTAAGAGCAGGTTCTCAGCTTATGGATAAAACCAGAAGTAAAATCTGCAGCAATCCATAGGGAGCCAAAAAACATGCAGGCTCAGCTCCCTTGCTACTACTACTCACTCACTCCAAGAAAGTATTTTTTTTCTTTATTCTGCCTTTCAAAAATAAAGTTGTGTATTATATTCCAGAGCATACTGTATGCAACAAAATATGGCATTTGCACTGCAAATATCAGAAAGAGGGATTCTTGTTAAGGCAGCAACAGAAGCTAACTCAGCCTTTGTGGAATGGTTGGCACTAATTTCCATGAGTAATAGTTGAGTGAATCTAATTTAGTTGTATCATAGTACGATTTAATACAATTACATGCTCATTTAGACAATCTATGTGAATACTGCCTAAGCACCAACTCTATTTGCAAACCTTCACCATAGCTTGGGAAAATCTTAAAAGGTTTTATTCTGTGAAGGTTGTACGAGAAGTGTCCAAGCCACATCAGAATCATATAGGTTGGCTTCCTCCTCTTTTGAATGGGAGCTAGGAAAAGAAAAGTACTAGATCAATCAGCTAAGTTATATGAAAATTAGAGACAGTTTTTGGTTAAAACTTAGGATGGGGCTTAAAAGTCCCATTTGTCTTTATTAACCTGCATAAGGTGGGATAACATGGCAGGGGTTTGGACTTGATGATCTGCTCAGGTCCC